ATAGGTTAGTAAGAATCATACTTATTATTGTATAAACAGCATCAACACCACCATTCCATTCTGAAGTTTTAGTACAATTAATAATACTACTCTGAAGGCATTCGTCATTACTTAAGGATTCCCACAATGATTGAATATAATACAAAACCTAGTAAACCATTTTAAAATTATAAACATATTCTAAAAATTATTTTTTATTTATACTTTCTTTATACTTGATTAAAGCAACAAGTTGCAGTTATCACCCAAAATGACCATTTCAAAATATACAAACTCTTATACTCTTTACACATGGATTTGAAATATTTCCATGACATCTTTTTATGCTAAAAATGTATTTGAAAATAAGTAAAGTATACAAATGTTTTATTTCTAAATTCATTTTTAACTCCTGTTTACTTTTATATTATTCTCAGCTAAATCATAATTTTCATTTTCCAATTTTGTTTCTAATGTTTTATCTATTACATTCATTTTCTGAGCTTCTGGCTTAGGCTCACTTTTTTTTATAGCTGGCAATGTTATAGTCCACATCATTGCAGCTGTCAGACCTGAGAATTATTATGAAATTATAGAAATTGATAGTTCACTATTTTACCACATCTTCAGTTTTATAAACAAACTAACTTCCTAATGTGATGAAATTTAATTGATATGTATCAACTAATTTGGTTGAAATGAACACCTGAGAAAGAAATCCTGAAAAGAAACGCCCTATAAGATGTGCAGCTCTAGTGTAACTGGTAACTTTCTGGTAATATTTCACATTCACAACAGAATATGTATATSTGTAGTATGCAACTTCTGTAGCAACAAACAAGCCATATAAAATTTCAACTACCTAAAAATAATAAGTTAATTAAATTTAAAAATTGATAAAATGTGTTATTTATTATTTTACATTAGAGACAATACTTACAACAATAGATGTAAAACTTGTAAATAAAGATAACGAAGCATAAATACAAACACCACATAGCGCTTGGATAACTATTACAATTTTATACCTCAGCCAGTCAGTAGTTAAAGAAACAAAAATCATAAATAACATAGAAGCATAAACACCGATAGAGAGTATTTCATTATTAACCTGAAATTGAATAAAAATATTAATTATGGAAATGAGGTAATAAATAAGTATTATTATTTATTAGTAACCCATATGACATATAGGTATGTTGTTTATTTATATAGCGTATCTAATTTTTTATTTTGGATCTT